CAAACCCATTCACAGTACTAGCAGGTCCCACACTAGCAGTACAATAGTAATCAGTTCCATTATCTGATAGAGATGCAGTGAATCTTAAGCTACTACCAGTAGTTGACAAATTGATTTCTCCAGTACTAATGCTATACTTAGCATCATTCATTGTAATGAGTCCATTAGGTTCAAACCAGTTGATGTTAACAGTATGATTAACATCCAGTGGAGTAATAGTGACAATACATAATAACTGAATGTCATTGCTCTCAAAAATACGTCCTGTTGTATTAACACTAAATGTGACCACAGGAGTTGGTACTACATAGGATGACCAAAAATATAAAAAGTAATGTGAATTATTAAAATAATTCTTACTTTGTATTATAATTTGATGTTATATCAATAATATCAGCCCCATCATTTAGTAGAGCCCTACAAAAATATTCTCCAACTTGTGATGCTTGCAATGAAAAGAAGTTAAGAGTAAGTGTATATACAACACTATCATTAGCTGATATCATTGTAGGCTCTAAAGTATCTAAAACTATGCCTCCATCAGTTGTAGAATTGAATGCAATGAGATCAGGACCTGCCCAGGAAATTTTTACTATAGTATCATTCACTTGAGGAGCTAATGTCAATGTACAGGTTAATGAAAAGGAAGAAGAGTGATCCAACAGCATCATAACTGGACCTTGTACATCAATACTGACAACTGAAAGAGACATCAAAATACATTATGCATAATTTATACCTTGAGGTACAGTAACATTGATTGTTTCACTATACAAGTCTTCACCAGTAGCTACTAGTCTAATATTATATTCATCATCAGGACGTAATGAGAGAGACAGCTCAGTATTTGTAGTGTCTTCATTCATAATAATACCATTACTGTTATTAACAAAGACAAGATACTGAGGAGTAGCACTAATCACTGCTGAGGGAGACCAGCCTAGTGTAACTGAGAGAAGACTATTTTTGCTGTAGGTCAAGTTTGATGGAGATCCAGTTACTAAAGAAATAATTATAATCAAAAAATAGCTAGGGTATATATACCTACCAGTAACATTCCTTGTTGTCATATTAGTAGATACTAAAGGTGTAGCTTTAATTCTGTCAGCAGTAACAAAACATTTATACAGGCCAGACACTCTCATTCTAAATATTACTGATACTTGTACTTGTACATCATTATTAACTGGTGTTACAGTACGTATCAGATCACTATCAGATACATTAAACTGGTTTCCATTATCAACAGAGCAAGTGACTATTGTTGGTGATCTATTAGTGACATTAAATGATAAACTAAACACTGGAGGATCAGCATCAACTGATGAGAGGAGCTGGAAGGAGGGACTACTGCCATCAATCATTGGATATTCTGTATAATGAGAAGATTGAATAAATGTATTCTAATGTTTTAAACTCACCATCATTTCTAATAAAATCGTTATTACCATAAGCAGCAACATACAATGTCTGATCAATTCCTTCTTCATTTGGTATAACACAACTGTATAGTCCTTGAACACTTGCTATTCCTCCATTTCTTAACAAACCAATTTGACCAGTAGCAGTGTTGTTAGCAAACAGAGGACTAGGATCATCGTTACCATCAGTAGAACCAGATGGTACAGTTGTTCCATCAGAATAATACCATGTTCCTATCATATTCTGATTAAGAGAACTCTGACACCACAAACCATCATTCTGACCATCAGGACCAATAGGACTATTAGTAGCAATACCATCAGGCCTATCTACATCTTTATCATGAAACAGGCCAGCAGCTATCATTGAGAAATTAGCAATAGTCACATTCTCCTCACCAAGAAACAATCTTACACCTATTAAATATAGGCATTAATATTACAGTATATACATAGACGACTACTGACCCTTAGTTGGACGAGGAGGTAGTGAACCAAACTCGGGTCGACCTGATACATAAAGTACCAATGATAAGAGAAACAACAAGGACATTATAACTTGATCTCAACTGCTCACTAAGCAAAATAGTAGCCTATGTGTGGGTGGTTACTAATATTATATAGAGATATTGTTATTATAACAGATGAGTTGTCTCAGAGTGAAAGCAAATATTTCAAAACAATTGACACAAAAAGAGTAAATTAAGACCATGATATACTGACATATTGTTAATTCAACGAGTAGTAGATAATGTTCAAATAAAAATATTATAAAAGGCTCATGTGAGACAGTAAATTACAATAATAACTCATCAGGTGCCTATCATTATTGAGCAATGTAAACTGTTGCTACTATAATGATGCAAAATATTAAAGGACATACATGTAGTCTCGCCCCACAGGTAGTGAAGGGGCGGGGCGAGACTATAGAGGACACTAATGAGTCTCATGATACTACACTAGCCAATGAATGAAGTGTATGTGTGTTAATGCTGGTGTGTACATGTACATGTACATGTACATGTATGTGTATGTGTACATGTACATGTATGTATGTGTCTGTGCTGAGCTAGCTTGCAATTGTGAAAGGTCAACTGTTCCTTTTGTGGCATTGTAAAAATTGTTGTTTTAAGAAGGTGTTGCATAGTATAGTCACCAAATTTGGTGTAGCTAAAGTCTGTACAATCTTCATTAATTTTAGGTCCGATCAATAAATCTTATTATTGTTTTCATTAGCCATAGTTACACAGTTAGCACTCTTGTATAACTCAAAACAATAATGAACAAAGCAGATGGACAGGAAAAGAGTGAGAAAGTGAACAATGTTACATACACGTATGTCAAACCACAATTACTATTACATGTACATGTAAATTATGTACTTTATGCGTTATGTACACTATGTGTTATCTATGAGTAAGTTTATCTACACAGTTCACAATTCTTTATAAAGGCTTCTAATGTCAACATAGTAGTAAAATAAAGAGGAACTGTGTGGTTTGTTGAATACTTGTGACAGTTAGTTGAATACTTGTGACGGTTAGTATAGTTAGGAAGGAGTGTCTTGTCTTAAATCAAAAACTATGCATGTGTACATGTACAGTTTATGTAAAACACGTTCCATTGACAATGACAGAATATAAATGTGATGGATGCATAAGAAATATTTATTTTTACTAATAATTATTTAATTGTATTCATAAATGACTCATGTGACATCATCGTTTTTTGTAAACTTAAAAACAATGTCTACGCCTCAAAGTAAATGATAAAGAATTCCTCAATATAAGGGCTTCAATTCTTTAATGCTTTTGCATGCATGGCAGTAGCCATTGGGGCAGCCTTGTCCAACTCTGTAACTCAATTGATGCTTATACATAGACTACAATAAATACTCAGTGCTATGAGATGAAACTGCAAGTAATTATACACCTCCACTTGATCATGGCTACTGATCTATTACTCATAATTTTTGAGCAACTTTAAAATTCATAAAAAATCTAATTTCAATTGGAATCTGTTTAAAGTGTCTACGCAAATCAAGTACATGTATATCTATCAAAAAAATTTTAAAATTCTCTCCTTTATCTTGGAAGAAAATGGGTCAAAATCCCTGTAATCATTTTTTAGCTTTATAATAATAATAATAATAATTATTATTATTATTATTCCTTATCATTTCCTTTTTTGTGTCACTGACTTAACCTTACCTATTTTTTGCTTTTCCTTAACCTACATGTTTTATTTCTTATATTTATAATAAATTTTTTGAGGGCTTTGTTCCCTTTTTACTGTACTACAGTACAGGGACTTTGGCCCAAATTTTTAGCAAATCTAAAAATTTGTAAAAATCCAAACTTGATCGGAATCCACTCAAACTTTCTACACAACATACGTACATGTATATGTATCAAAAAAAATTATAAAAATGAAAAATTCTCTCCTTTTTATTTTTAATGAAAATGGGCCAAAATCCCTGTACTACAGTACAAGGACTTTGGCCCAATTTTTAGCAAATCTAAAAATTTGTAAAAAATCCAAACTTGATCGGAATCTACTCAAACTTTCTACATAACATAAATGCATATATATGTATCAGAAAAAATTATGAAAATGAAAAATTATCTCCTTTTTATTTTTAATGAAAATGGGCCAAAATCCCTGTATTACAGTACAAGAACTTTTATCCGATTTTTTAGCAAATCTAAAAATTTGTAAAAAAATCCAAACTTGATCGGAATCTACTCAAACTTTCTACATAACATAAATGCATATATATGTATCAGAAAAAATTATGAAAATGAAAAATTATCTCCTTTTTATTTTTAATGAAAATGGGCCAAAATCCCTGTACTACAGTACAAGAACTTTTATCCGATTTTTTAGCAAATCTAAAAATTGTAAAAAAATCCAAACTTGATCGGAATCCAT